ATCTTTTTAAAAACTGTACAAATAGACATGAAACACCAAAATGTGTCAACTGTTTGAAAGAGAAAAGAACACAACATAACCATAATACCATGGATAAAATGTGTCCAACGTATCTAAGAGAAAAATCAAAATATCTAACTAGGACTGAATACATACATACATGAAAATCAATAGCTGTATGTTACTACAGACCAACAGGAAATACTTGGAGACCACTAGCTGAACTTTGTCACAGACCAACAGGAAATTCACTCCTTGAAATAATGCGTTTCTGAAACTGTGATAAACATCTATACCGTGATGTCTTGCAACCTCTAGACTATTGCATTTTACATGCTATTTGGATGTTCCTGAACATTTTGTATAAATTGGACATTTTACATGATATGGCGAGTTACTTACAATTATAACTGTATGCGCCAGTCTCCAATCAGCAAGACGCTACATTAAGTATTTATTTACATTCATTATTCAGGTTAATTATATTTTTCTATTAAAGGTAACTCTATGTCTTTGCAATCTTGCTGATTTTATGTACATAATTTTGTATATATTTAAGTTCATTATTCCTTAATTTATCTGTTTTTATCTTATTTTATGTATTTATTGACTTATTTTCTTCTATTAAGTATTTGCTTTCATCATTTCTGTACACGTAACAAAATTTTATCTTGAGTACTGTAATATTTAATGTGTATAACCGGTAATGCTCAATGCGGGGCCGGTCTGTACTATATTTGTACAACAATAAATGAATGAATGAATACCTTTAGTCCATGCTAACACAGATAGTCAAGACTCTACTGTTTTAATAATAGTAATGGTTTCACTTTTAAAAATTAATTATGCTTTATTTTTTATGATTAAACTTCTTAAAAAATACATCCGATTCTGTTTCTTACACAGAATTTTTACACGATTTTGAGTTAACATAAAATACATAAAATATTGAATTACAATAGTGTTTCTAAAATTGCTACAATTAGAGATTCGTTATATTTCAAATAGTTTAATTATGCCGAGAAAATATTAAAATTTACACCCTGCTTCTTTCCGTTTCCTAGGTGTTAAGTGATTTAGAAGCATTTTACAATATACAGTACTACATTCCTACTTCATTCTACAGTACTGCACAATGCCGGAAAGCATTATCATCCCCGGGATTATGCCAAACAAAATATTTAATAAAATATCAACAATTAAAATTTTCATTACGATTAGAAAGGACATTAAATTTTAAAGGAAAAATTGCATTTTACAAGCTTTAAGCATAGTGAGCAGTGACCATAAAATGGCGTCCAACAAACTAAAAGTCTTTCTGCAGGCCGATTTTTTCATCCAGAACATTCTAAGTTAAATTAATTTCTTTCTAATTATTAAATTTAACTCGAGATGGCGACCTTAATCGCCATCTCGAGTTAAATTTAACCGCCTATCTCTAATCTTAATCCAAAATTGTTTAATTAATATATTATTATTTACTTAGCCTTATTGTAGCTCGATATGAATCAGGCTATATTGTTTGATTAGATGAAGGATTGATACTTCTATAACTAGGAATTTACGAGAAAGCACTTTTCTTTACAAACCATATGCGATTCAACCAAGTTTAAAAGTGGCCGCAACTATTGAATGTTATTCTTATCAGCTACAATGACCACCATCATGTTGAAATAAGTATTTTTTGTGAGTTGTTTCAAGAAAACAAATAACAGTGCTGTGGTCGCAATTTGGGAGTTTTACCGTCATGAGAATTTAAACAAAGATTAGTGACGCAACAAACCTTTAGAAGAATGATCACTCGATTTCAGAAAAGAAGACATCTGGGATTTAATCTGGCCAAGGGCATATTTCACGTATCATTTCACGAGTCGTTATCATAGCTGTTGTTGAACAGTCAATGAATAATGTTGCAGATTCTAGCAGTGCATATGCAGTGTACGGCAGTTGAGTGTATTTTATGGCACAATGTGGAAAATATTGAGAAAGTTGTATTGTTATGAGATCAGCCACAATCAGGAATTGCTTACCGCCAACAGGGAAACCCGATTGATCTTTGCGTTTACCTCCTTGCCTGAATGGAAATAGATGTACTATGATCATGAAAACTCCTGTAAGGGTTAAAGAGTAAACTCGTAACTGTCGCATCTAGACCACAGAAAACTCTCATGTTTTCTAGCAGATTCCACTGCCCAATTTTCAACGTTTGTATAAAATAAGTTGAATTTTCATGTATTAAAAAGTTTTCAACATTTAAAATAAAACTTCAGTTTTCATATGCTGGTAACACAGAAGTGAAAACAAAATTCAGTGTTCTGTTAGCGGAAGGTTTAAAATTAGTTTCCAATATAATTTTTTGCAGGTCAAATCTCGAAAAAGAAGTGGAATATGAAAAACGTTTATAGATGATTTAAGCTTATTGCTTATAAGCTTGATTTAACCTTAAGTTTTTATTTGACCCTAGAATCTATCATTAAAATATTGGCAGGGAGTTTCGTTAATCTTGTATATATGAAGCATAATATATGGTTTATACCTTAATACCCCGCATTATATTATCTACACAATTATAATTACAATTATAACAGTCATAACAATGAATTAAAGTTCGTTAGGAAACAGTTTTTAAATTTTGTTTTCAAAAAAAGGAATTTAATTCTGAATATATTTTAATATAGAAATTAAAATTATATTCAATATTGCTTGGAGATGATTTAAATTTTCATTTGAAAATAAAAATGATTTAGTGATTTATCTCTTTTTATCATTGGATTAATTCAGTGGGTAAGAAACTACTTTATTTAATATAATTATAAATTATATTAAAAACTTAAATTTTCAGAAAGTATGGACGAATCTCCTCGGAGTTTTGTATTACATCTCGCATATTATTTTGAAGGTAAAGTACAACTTTATAAAATGTTTTCGTTAATCTTGAGGATATAATTTTATTGTACTTTATTATTTTTAATATGTTTTAAGCAATTTAAAGAAATGACTATAGATTTATTATTAACAACATTAGATGGTTTGTAATTTTATTGAATTTTGACTGAACAGCATTTTTTAAAATATAATTTAAAATATATACCATGTATAATGAGAAACATGTTTTTTCATAAGTTTATTTTCTTTCTTAATCTTGTTTATATAAAATTTAGAAATGTTTTATTATATAAAAATTTTGGAAATTTTTATATATAAATAGAACATGGAGTTTAATAATTTTCAAAATTGAATATTTTAAAAACTATCCTTTTTCGTCCCATCTAAATGAAAACTCAAACATTTTTATTCTTCTTTTAGTGTTAATTTAAAGATTCTAAAACGTTTTTTCTTTTTTTCTTAAGTTAGAAATACTACTATTATGAACTTCATTTGATATAAATTCTTGATTTTTATTTATTCGCAAAATGCAAACACAATATTAAAATTTTGCGAATATTTATATAAAGAAAGAGAAATATTTCATGCTTTACTTATAATATTTTAGTCGATATACGTTTGTTACTGGAAAAAATCAAGTTGATAGACAAAATTAGAATCGATGGCATTAACTATATTAAATTCCTGTTTTTAAATATTACTTTTGATTAAAAATATACATTTGAAATTTCATATTTTTTTACGGTAATAAACTTCTATATATTTTAAATTTCATGAATTATGTACGAAAGTTTAATTTAGAAATAGTGATGAAATTTTCAGATTATTCAATAATAAATCTTTTATCTATGTAATATGACATTTTGTTGGTGTTTACTCTTAATAGCAGATATTACGCCACCAGGAACTTATTTTCAACTGAAATTGATGCTATTGTTAAGTTTGGTAACATTAAATCACCCCAAGGTAAGAAATTTTGCTTTTCTCTGTAGATGTATTCATTTATCACTAGATACTTGTCTCCCTTTTCTTTGAAATTTTTTTTGTCTAGATAAGTTTACATTCAGTGAAATAGCATGGGACTTCAACTTCTATAACTCAACATTTAAAGTAATTGAACATTTCGAAAAAAGTTGTGATAAAATTGCTGTTTTATTCTTAACAATTGTAAAAATGTACCTTAAAATTTAAAGATTAAGTAATATAATCCCATTAATTTGAAAGATATTTTACTTAAATTTCAATAATGTTTTATTGCCGAAATTAAATCCAAATATTTTATTATTGATTTAAAATTTGTTATTCAGTAATCACGTGTAAAACAAATAATAATTCAAATAATAGTAATTTCAATGACTTTATAACACTGTATGCTAATTAAAAGAAATCATTTGAGCAATTATGTTATTTAAATGTATATACTATATAAACATTTAAATAATGTAATTGATACATACAATTATTTATTAATACAGTTTATAAATTTATTAAATTAAATAAATAATTTTTAATTTATATTTAATAACATTTAATAAATTTAATAAAACATATTTAATTTATTAAATATATTTTTGTATTAGAATTCATTATATATACACAGATTTGTTTAAATATTCACACATTATCTTTTATTGAATTAAAATTATACATTTAAAACAATATAAATTAGTTGTATATTTCTAAAGTATACATTTTTTTCTTTGAATTATATTATTTATTATTTGATTTATTTTGGAGTTTATAAAATTTTTAGGTAATATTTTATAAACTTTCATATTTTCAACTTGAATTCACATAAAGAAAATGACTTGAACACAATTTATAAATTTAATGTCATCTTATCAAAACTTTTTCCCTTCTTGTATGGAAAAGTAAATGTTTGTATTGGATAAAAATATCAAATACTTTTAATAATCAAACTAAATTTTGATTTTAAGACAAAAAATTTTTTATATGTTAATTAAAAGTTAAACATAAACAAGAATGTGCTAAAAGACATTTATGCCTACTTTTTCTACTTTATTATTCAGTCCTTGCAGAATAATTTTTTTTTAAATAAAGAAACTAAGATACTAAAGCAATTTGGTTTTTGTCTCTCGAAAACCAATACATTTCAGTGAAGTGAGAAATTGGGCTTTTAAATTAAACAAATGATTAAATTGCATTTCTTAATTTTTCTTATAACTTATCTTTACATATTTAATTTATTTCAGCAAAATTCGAAGTTTAATCAAAGTAGATAATTCAAAGTCGAATTTCGAAATTATGAAATATATACAAATTCTTAAAAGAATTATATAAAATTGA